GGGGCTCGGGGGAGCTCCGGGCAGCGCCGGGGGCCGCGGGGAGGGAGGGGGGCTCCCCGTGGCCGGCGGGACGTTCCCGGCTCGGGGCTCCCCTCCGGCCGCCCGTCGCCTCCCCCGCCCCCCGCGCGCCCGCGCCCTCGCTAGCCCCGCGCGCGTTCCTAGGGCGCCACCTCTTTGCGACTCGCTCACTTCTCCGGCAGGTTTGCCTGCGAGCGTGTGAACATTCCTCTGCTCGGCTTTCAACTCTCCTCCAACCTGCGCCGCCCCGCCAGCATGCCTCCCCGGTCTTGAAGCGGGGCCGCTGCTGCCCTGCCGCTTGCTCAGGCCGCCGCCGCCCCTCTGCGCCGCTGTTAACCCGCCCTCGCCGCCACCTGGCCCTCCTGATCGACGACACACGCACTTGAAACTGGTTCCCAGGGTGTGTGGAATCAACTTTCCGGAAGCAACCAGCCCACCAGAGGAGGTAGACAGACAGCTAGGTATATATATGTGGGTCTCGCTGCAAGTGGCTCTGGAACAAGACGGCCTAGTTCGCAAAGAAGCAGACTTCGGAAGGGGAATCTTTTTTTTTTTTTTAAGAAGGGCTTAGCCCTGCTTCCCGAACCCAAGATACTGCCGGTCAGATTAATTAGACATTGCTAAGGGAGACGTGTAAACACGCTGCTCATCATAGATACATATATAAACCCATTTCATTTTGGTTATTATTTCGGAGGAGGCACCTCTGATTTTTCTCTTTTTTTTCTTCTCTTTTTGGTCCCTTTTTGCCTGTGTGGTTTGGAAAAAGCACAGTAGTTTGTTCCTAAATAAGTAAGTGCCGAGAGGCTCCAGAGAAAGTTTTTTCCTTGCTCTTTGCAACTTGGGAGATGCCCTTGAAGAGGCTATTTGAGAGCAGGCTGAAGGGGCGCAGTGGGGTAGTGCGGGGAGATGGAGATGCCGGACTGACACTTCGGGCCCCTTTCCTCTCCGTTGCAGGTCCCCAGAGAGAGAGGATACGATGCTGTGGAGGCTGGTTCAG